CTGGGAAGAGACCGGGCAGGGCAAAGGAAGCCCGAGTCCACTGGCAGGCCCCAGGCCAGCTGCTGTCCCTCAGAGGGCCTCAGTTTCCCTTTCTTGACAATGAATACTTCTAAGCTTCCTCCAGCCCTGATACTACAAGAACCTGCAATCCTCCTCTCTCCCCCCACCCACCAGCCCCCCAACACCCACAGCCCACCGCAAGCAGACATCTGAGCCAGCCTTGGGCCTTGTCGACTGGCTGCTCCACTGCACCTGTTTACCCAACACAGCCACAGACATGATCCAAAGCTTCCGGGGCTGTTGTGAAAACAGCAGCTCAGCCACCACAAGCCTGCCCGCCCGGGCACCTTGGCAGGGACCTTCAAAGGACAGTCATCTGGACCTGGACCCAGAGCCTCCACCAAAGGCCTGCTGAACCCTCTCCTCCCCAGTCTGGGCTGTACATGCTACCTCTTGGCTTTCAGCCCAGACCTTCCTGAACCACCTGCCTCCCTGACCTCACCACGCTCTAGAGCAGCGGGTCTCAACCCTTTCACAGGGGTTGCCTCAGACCATCGGAAAACACATATATAATTACATACTGTTTTTGTGATTAATCACTATGCTTTAATTATGTTCAATTTGTAACAATGCAAATACATCCTGCATATCAGATATTTACATTACGGTTCATAACAGTAGCAAAATTACAGTTATGAAGTAGCAACGAAAATAACTTTATGGTTGGATGTCACCACAACATGAGGAACTGTATTAAAGGGTTGCGGCATTAGGAAGGTTGAGAACCGCTGCTCTAGAGGTACTCAGATACATCCAAAACAGACCTACTGATGTTCCCCACCCAAGTGCCCCCATCTCCCAGCAGCACCAGTGCTTGCCCAATAGTTCAGGCCAGACACCTGGGTGTCATTTTCCTCCTCCCCCTTCCTCCCTACACAGCCACACCATCATTTCTGCCTCTGCAGTCTATCCTGAAGTCCATTCTTCTCTCCGCCTGCTGCCCCCATCTAGGCACCCCCACCGCCCCAGGCCCTGCACCTGCCTGCTCACTGCTCTCCATCCTCTGGTCTGGCCCCCACAGTCTTCTGTCTCAGTAATTTGGTGGGTCTTTTAAGATCTCATCACCCCCTGCCTAAGCCCCCAGTGTTCCCCATTTCCCCATCTGATAAACCCAGACTCCGCTCCCTGTCCTGCCCCACCCAACCTCCTTCATTACCTCCCTGACCTCCTCAGCCACTGCCTTCCTTTACTCCTCTGCCCTGGACACAATGACCCATTTCACAGATGAGGCAACTGAGGCTCAAAGCAGTCCAGTCCCTGGCTCAAAAGTACACAGCCAGTGCATATCCAGCAAGAATTTGAACCCAGGTCTGTCTGATGCCTGCAGAGGTCTTGCTCCTAAACCTTCAGGATGCCCTCACACCCTTAGCCCGGGGAAATGCCAATCTCCAGCCCTCTAGCCTCCCAGCACCTGCCAACTACCCCACCATCATTACCACTCCCACACCTGAGGTCCCAAGCCTCTTGGTGCCGGATAGCAAAGGCCAAAGCTCAGCTCAACCTTCTCTGAGAGACAGGCAGGGTCCTGCCATCCACTGGCATTTGTCAAGGATGTGTGTGTGGCGGGTATTTCTAGCTCTCCCCACTCCTCTAGCTGCCATCAGCCCCAGATGTCCGCCTCCATCCCCAGTCCAAAGACTGACTCCAGGGGTCTGAAGTGAAGGCAGGCTGGCAGGAGGGCTCACCATCCACCCCCTCATTGCCAGCCTCAGCTTCTCCAAGCCCAATGTCCTGGGCGGAGGGGGGAGGGGAATGAGGTAATGAGGTAAGAGGGGGGGGGGGCAAGAGGCCTGAAGGGGCAGCAGGCAGCTTCTGACTGCCTTTCCCCTCTATTTGTCATGAGATCTATTTTTCTCTCTTTGAAAGAGAGCGAGGGGGAGCAGAGCAGGAGGGGGCTGGGCCCCTGAGTGGGCACAGCTGCTTCACCCTGGAGCTCCTCTTCTTGGAGGACACAGAACCTACCGAACCCACGGAACCCTCCCACTCTGCAGCATGGCCTCTGAAGGCAGAATCCAGGGGGTGTAAGGGAGCCAGAGGCCCGGCTTCTCAGCCACCTGGCCCTGTGACAGTGGGCCAGTGCCCAGGCCATCTGAAATAATAACCCCAGCAAGTACCACTTGCTGTGTCGTGAACAGTTACATGAACCGGTGCTAAGTGCTTTACATAACTACTAACAATGTGCCAGGCACAGTGCTAGCTACTTTGCATGCATTATCTGCTGTTTCTGGCACAACCCCACAAAGGCAAAGGCTGTCATTCTCTCATTTGTCAGAGGGGGAAACCGAGGCACTGGGCATCAAAGCCACTTGCCCAGGTTCATTCATACAACTGCTTGGAGCCACCTCATCCCAGAGATGCAGCCCAGCCATGGCCACTCACACGCAGGGGGCTGTGCCCGCGGACCTAACGCTCTGAGCCTTGCCTTGAAGCCAGGATTGTGGAGGGTTTCATGGCAGAGGGCTCCCCGAGCCTCCATCAAGGCCTGGCCAGCCTTGGCACTGGAAAGCCTGGTCAGTCGGCCTAATCCACTGGCCAAAGGCTGTTTCCCTCACAGGCAAGGCCGCAGGGCAAGCCTCAGATGGAAGGCTGGTCAGTCCTGCTATGAAACCACATCCTGGGCAGCCCAGAGGAAGTGAGCCTCCGGAAACCCCTCGGACAGACGGGCCTCTCCCCTGGGCCCCAGTCCTTGGAAAGTGCACAGACTGTCCAAGAGAAGGACCCTTTCTGCATTCCTGCCCTCCACTTCCACCAGGCATGCACGCTGTGGGACCCCGAAGAACAGTGGGACCCCCCCTCCCCAGCCTGTGAGCACCGTGGCCCAATGACCACAGGCAGCCCACTTCCTCCTCTGTGGCAGCAGCCACAAACGGTGCCGGCACAGCTGACATGGCCCTTCCCCCACACCCTTGCTCCAACTCCATTGCCAAGCCCTAATCAGCCTGGAGGACTGGGCCAGCTGGGCAGGATAGCTCATGAATGCCTGGGCAGAGCCCACCTTCCATTGTGTTCCAGCCCCTGGAGCACCTGTGGTCACAGCCACCCTCAAACCTCACTCTCAGTGCCAGAGACAAGCTGGGCTGTGACTCTGACCAAGGATCCCCCCTTCCTGACCCGGAATGGGCACAGTGTGGTGTGTGTGGGCAGGCATCTGAGTGCATGGTGACTGGGTGAGCATCTGTGTGCATGTCGGAGCATGCCTGTGGGTGAGTGCATGTGAACAACTGTGTACACATGCGCACGTGCATGTGCAGGCACTTGTGGGCATGGGTGCCAAGTGCAGCCTCAGTTTTTGTGAGTATATGTCTATGCCAACTAGGTCAGTAATATTTTATTTTATTTCTTTATTATTTTTTAAAAATATTTTTTCATTGATTTCAGAGAGGAAGGGAGAGGGAGATAGAAACATCAATGATGAGAGAGAATCATTGATTGGCTGCTTCCTACATGCCCCCTACTGGGGGTTGAGCCTGCAATGCAGGCACATGTCCTTGACCGGATTCAAACTCGGGACCCTTCAGTCTACAGGCTGACGCTCTATCCACTGAGCCAAACCAGCGAGGGCTAGGTCGGGAATATTTTAGAGTTGAAAGTGGGCTGGCTCTGCCCTGGCTGGTGTGTTTCAGTTGGCTGAGCTTCGTACTGTCACATAAGGGTTGGTAGTGTGATTCTGGTCAGGGCACATGGGTGGGTTTCGGGCTTGATCCCAGTGAGGTACCTGCAGGAGGCAGCCGATTGATATTTTGCTCTCCCATTGATGTTTCTCTCTCACCCTCTCCCTTTCTCTCTTTCCAAAAATCAATTAAAAAAAATTTTATTTTATTTTTTAAAGAAAGTGGGCTGGCTCCAAGGCTAATTAACTGAACTTCTTAGGGAATGAGGCTCAGTGCTGGGAGGGGAGGGGCCCCTGAACTCAGGTAGCATAGGCCCAGCAGCCAAGAGCACATCACCTCCTCCCCACCAGGTTTGCAGGTAGGTCGAATAAACAGAAGACCTAGTGGAGACCCTGTTTTTGTTCAGCCCCCCACTCCCACCCCTGCACCCCACCCCCTAGTAAGGCCCACTTGTCTATTGACCCCCAAGACTTGTAGGTGCTTGACAGCCAGAGGGGTGGGAATGGGGAAATGATCAGAAAGGACTCCTGGAGAAAAGACCACCTTTGCCACCCCTCCCCACTGTCACTCCCTGGGTTCTGTGCCCTCAGTATCTCCCACCATGCCCCAGAATCCCGCTCACTGGGCTCTGGACACCCAATGGGTAAGTTCACAGGGCTGTCTTCCTTTCAATGGGAACCGAAGGAGGCAAGGCTGGCCGCAAAGAAAAGAATTTCTAGCTTTGTAAAGGGCCACAGAGACGGCAGCCTTCCCCATTACCCCTTAGCAACTCTGCCCAGCTCATCCTGAATCCGAAGGCTGGGGAGGGAGACTTAGAATCCCTCCTCTGGCCCCAGAGAGGCTGGGGAGATGCAGGAATGGGTGTAGAAGAGAGCTCATTGTACCAGGAGCTGGGAGACTTCCTTCCATTCCCAGGTTAGTGTCACACCCACTCACTGGAGGACCCAGGGCAAACCTCAGTTTCCCTGTGTGATTATGACGACAGCCTGAAGCAGAGAGAAGCGACCATGGAAAAGCTGACACACCCACCTGCAACCCTTGGCTCTCACACACCTTCTCTCTAACTGACCAGCAAAGTGTCACTACTCCTCACCCCAGAGTACTGCTGGGCCCCAGGCTGCTGAGCTCCAAGGTCAAAACCTTTGCCGGGCCAGAAGCCAGTTCCAGGCAGGCAGCACTCATTCGCAGGGCAAACTGCTGCCCCCTCTGGGCACCCAGGCCCCACACCCAGACCAAGGACTCTGTGTGCTGCCCCACCGAGTTCCAGGGCGGAAGGGGAGGAAGTCCACCCTGTCCACTGTCCATCTGTCTAAGAGGATCTAGTCTTACCTGGGGCTCCCGGCTCCCCCTTGCCCTTAGTCCTGGCTCCTGCCACCACCGCCACACACAACAATCACCAGGAGAAGTAGGCCTGCTGCCCTCACCTGGGCCAGTTCCCAGTAGACCTGCAGGAACAAGAGAAAAGAGCTGAGCGGGGAAGCCTCACCAAACAGGCTCTCCCCAGCACAACCAACACACTCCTGGTTCGGCCTTGTTTGACTCTAAGACTACAGGTCTCTTTGAACTTGACTTTCTCTTCTGTGAAACAGGGTGTTGGGCCCAACTTTTCCAGGGCACTGGTTATGCATTCACTCCATGCTGGGGGTTGGAACGCTGTCTGTCCTCAGAGCCTTTCCGGGCTACATATAGAAACAGCAAGAACTCTGTTCCAAATCCTCCTGTCTGCAAGTGGTTGCCCTGTGGGCCTGGGAGAACTAGGGTGCAATCAATTATGACCACTTTGTGGCCTGGGGAATTCCTTTGGGCCTCAGTTTGTCTCATCCTTAAAATGGGGAGAATACATCTCCCCACGTGGTTCTGAGGCTCCAATGATGTGGCATGCCAGCTCCTGTGCTGGACTCAAATTGGGAGTGACAAATGAATAGTGGCATGTTTTTGCTCCTTGCTTTTCACATTCTAGTTGAGGTGATTCTCATATTACTGCTGTGCCCATTATACAGCAAAAACAAAACAAATCAAGCAAAAAACGGAGTCTCAGAGAGATTCTTGAAGGGAAGAATGGCAAAGGCAACAAGGTCCCTGGTGCCCAGAGTACTTTTTCTGCAGGCCAGGCCTCCACAAAAGATTCCCCTCCCCAGATATGAACCCCTCTTCCAGCTGAAGACCCCCATCACCATCCCCTGGGGGCTGAGGCATCCTTATCTTTTTGTTTGTACTTTAAGTTATTTCTAATTTTAATTTAAACTCCAATTAGCTGTGCCAGCTAAATGGTGTCAGTGCCCTGGAGTCACCTCTCCAAGTCACCGCCCCTCCTTCTTTCCCCCACCACTACTGCTGAGACTGGAGGGGCGGGGGGGTGGAGTTATCATGTGGGATGAGCAGGGATAGATGCTGGGGGGGCGGTCTCAGTTAGCTGTCTTCCCTCCCACAAGCAGTCTAGTCAAGGGGATGGGAGGGGAGCAACAGATACATCGCCAGCAAGAAACTAGGTTGGGGGACTATCTAGGCTTTTATTGAGCCCCAGCTCCCAAGAGAATGGGGACCATACAGTTGGAGGAAAGTAAGTGGTCACCAAATAAGACTTAACATGTGCTGAGCACTCAGTATGGGCCAAGCTGTGCTAAAGGACCTCTGACTCAGGCCCTCTTGTCCTCACAACTTTCTCCCGTCCGCACGTAAGGAAACAGCCTTAGGGTGGCCTAGCTCCGGTCCCTTAACAGGCAGTGATTTTTGTGCCCAAGTCTTTCCTGGATCCAGAGTCCAAGGTCTTAGTCACAACACTACAAACCCCCAAGCCTTGCCCTCTGGTGTCTTTCAACCTGGGGAATAGGTGAGAGGTGGGAGCCCCCCGCGCCCCAGGAGCCAGGGCTGGGCTTGATGTGCTGCATGCACACCCAAACGCTCACAGCCTCCCACATGCACATACACCCACCCACACACCCAAACACACTGAGCTCTCACCTTCCCTCCCAGCACTGTCACCCCAGAGCGCAGGCACCACACACCTTGTTTCCTCCCCTCCTGCTGCTGACACCCACGCCCAAGCACTCTCGGTTCCCCACAATCAGTTACTCCCCGAGCACACACACTCACAGTTTCATACAGTCAGACTGTGAGTCTCCCACCAGTCATAGGCCCCCACCGCCAGTCTCGCCCCCAGCCCCAGTCCTGTCACACACCAGATCCCTTACACCACCACCCTATAGCCAGATACAGCTGTCCAAACACCTCCACAATACACACACACTCTCTCTCTCTCCACCCAGTCCCTCTCTCCAGCTGCCCTCTGCTGGTCTGTCCACCACAATCCAGCTCAGTCCACAGCAGGAACGAGGAAACTCAAGGGACCAGTCCCCTCCCTTGGTGCACACACACACACACACACATACACACACACTCAAACAGATACGCTCACACATGAGCCTGGTGGGCAGGTACCCTAACACCATGGACTCCCACAATTAACAGCTTAAATGTACTCATGGCTCGTGGGTCACCATGACACACCCAGTGTGCAACAAAGGACCGTCCAGATGCACAGGGATGCACAGACACAGACACACACACACACCAACACCTAGAGGGGAGTGTTAAAGAACACACCAACACATAGCATACACAGCCTCAGAACACCCAAACAGATATACATACATACACACAGGCGAATCACACAGGCAAGAAAGGATACACAGGGACAAGTTCCAGACAGCGACAAAGAACACCCAAGCACACACCGACACACAACACACTTACAAGCCCAGCTACAGAGGAATCAGCTCCAGGAGACAGGATCCATGCGTGCAAGGCAGGGGCCAGAGAAGGGAACAACATCCCACCCTGAGCAAATCTGTCCGATCAGGTTTATGTGGGGGGCTCAGTGGAGGATTTGGGGAACTGGAGCAGTTCTGACGGTGCTCGCCTCCTGCCTTTTCACCCTGGCTCTCCCCACCACATCCCCTCACCTGGCTGGGCCCCCGCGGGCGTGGGGTCTGGATTGGGGAGAGGCCGGGGGCAGACAGGTCCTGGAAGGGGCCACCAGGGTAGGGGGCTCAGAGGAGCAGAAGAGCAGGCAAGGCGGGAAGGGGAGGTGGCGGAGACTCGAGCCACGCCCAGCCCGGAGACAGATGGAGGGAGAGCCCGAGACTCCGAGACTGAGAGGAGATAGAGCGAGGAGGAGGCGCCGCGCGGGCCGGGCAGGGACCCAGGGCGGGAGGCGAGGC